AAGGAAGCGTTGCGACACATTTTTTGAAGTCTAAATGCAGGCATGGCGAACACGCAGAGGTCAACTCTAACGTAAATGAGCAGGAGTAATCAATAAGCATAATTTAATAAAAGGAAAGACTAAATTGCACCTAATGAGGATAAATTTTCCGAACTATGGATAGAGCACAGAGCTATTAAAAGTAAGTGACGCTTGGTAAACCCTAATTAAAAGCTAATAAGCGGAATATAAACGGAAAAGGTTTAATTTATAAAGTAATAGCAAACGCCAGTATACCTTTCGTTTCACATTAGAAGTTGAGTATGAATGATTTCTAAACAGGCCAGATCAGAAGCAAAGTAAAACTGCTTTTAAGTTGTGAATATTGATTTAAACTTGTAGTTTCTCAGCACAGTCATGTGAGTCGATGGATCCATGCTTAGCTCTCATCCATTCTGCTATAACAGACATAGCAAATGCTTCAAACCATTCATTTGGAAAATCTACTAAACATTAAGCCAAGAACTAGATGAAGATCCAGTTGCATAATATTATCAAGGGATGCTTCTAAACCTTGCTTAAAAACGAATATAATCACAAGGAATAAAGAACGATAAAAATCTTACTATATATATAATATCTTTCCAGATAGAACCGAACCATCCTTCTAATGCATTGCTCAGAACCATCGGAATATACCTCGGACACATCAGAACGAAGTGGATTATCATGTAAGTCTGAAAAGTAAATTATTCAGACAGATTATGAATAATTGTAACGCAAACGAAAATTGAATTATAAATGCACCCCATAATTTAGTATAGCAAGAATTATAACATATACTTACTAAAGTGCCTTAGGTTAAGCAAATGTCCGATTTCATGAGGAAGGTCATTAATCTTATTATCGTTAAGTATGAGCGATCTCAATTCAATTAAGGAACCAATCGAAGCAGGAAGGGAAGATATTTTGTTATGACTGGCATCCAAATTTACAAGATTGTGTAGGTTTCCTAGCTCTTCTGGAAGTCGCTCTAGATGGTTGTTTTTAACAACTAAAGTTGTAATGTATGTCAATGAGCATAAAGAAGGAGGAAAATTTTTCAGAGTTCCTAAAAGAACAAAAGTAATGTCGTTAATACTTTTGGCCAAAAATAACGATTTACACTGAGACACTTACCGAATAAGTTTAATCTAAACCATTCACTTTTCTTCCCTGTCTTATTTTCCTCATCACTCATTAGGCGGCTTTGCATTGTAAGTTCGTTCAACCCATTATGCCTTCTAGAAGGCATCAATTCTGATTGATGACGCATCCAAGTGTTTAATAAAGAAAGTAGAGTTCAAGATCTGGGGTACAATGCGAATGATAAAGGCGTTTACTAAGTGTGAACTAAAACGATAAAGGGTATTTTATGAACCACAAGAGGAAAAAACATTAAGATATTAATGTATGATTATTCTATTAACTTACAATGAGAAGTAAAAGATTATTTTTAAAATGAAAAAGGATGAAGACAAGGGACGAACCGACAGAATATTTTGAGCGCTTTGGATTACAAAACCATTCCAAACGAACACTTAATATATTTTTTATTTGTTTATTAATATATAAATATAAATAAATAATTAATTAAATTAATTTGTACTATTTAAAAAGTAGAGTACGAGCCGGAGTCTTCTACTCTTAAAGATTCCAATACTTCTTTAACCTTCTCATCCCTATTTGACTGGCGCATTCTAATTG